CAAAGACAGAAAAATAGGTTCAGAGGAGTAGTTAATGAACACATGCAAGCTGAACAGTGCTTGCATGTAAGAGAAAATGTAGAAACCTCAAAGGATGAAGGAATTGAACTTACCAACTCCAACACAATAACTTGATCGGTGAAAAGAAGAGTTCTTGACACCAAGAAAGCTCAGGTACGGTCTGATTGATGATCAAATGCAGAAAAAGTGAGAATTTTTAGAGAGAATTTGTAGAGAGAATGAGGAGAAAAGGAAAACTCGGAAATTTGGAGAGAAGCAGTGCATGCAGAGAATGACACGAAATTTTGAAAAAAAAAATCGATCGGTCCACTCAGATGCATACACCTGTCTTCCCTACTTTCTATGAATTTCACGGTTCTTACAATCCCACATGCGAAACATAATTATATATTAATTTTTAATAAAATCATAATATAATTCATGATAAAAAATGTATAATTATATATGAGTTTGTCACTGAAATAATGTGGATTATGAAACTACGGATATGTAATCTTTCAAATGTAAATGATCATGTTAACTTTTTTTTGTACAAATGAGGATTATAACTCATTTTATAACTATTACCAGTTTTAGATTTTAATAATTATATTTTGACCCCTTATTAAATTAAAATATTATTTTAAGGTACACAACAAGATTTCATGAAAATTATGCCCTTAGTTATAAACTTATTATTAATAGATCACTTTATAATTTTGACTAACAAAATAATGACCTTAACACATTTAAATAATATATATGTGACCCAAAATTTTCTCTCGCACACAATATGAAATGAACTCATTGAAAGACCATTTCTCCTTTTGATAATTATAAGATGTCTTAAACTAACCAAATTGTGATAGAAGAGAAATCAACATTTAATATATGAGCAAGTCTTTCGACATCTCAAGTTTTATCCTTAAGTTTTGAAGTAAATATTTGACATTCCCATAATATATTCCCTCTAATCTCCTTTGTCCTAATACTTAATGGAAATCAAGCTCTGAAGAAAAACACTTGTTTCCATCTTATCGACTTTTGCAAAATGCTTTTTAATTTCAACAAGAAAATCTTTGACACTTATTATCTCCTCAAAGATAGTATTCCTATAAACTTTAGGAATGTCACATTTAATGATCATAAGACTCGTGCAATTTTAGTGATCTCATTTTTCATAATCTATTCTTTCTTTACATGTATTAGGGTTTCTCAATTGTTAACATACAATCAAGATCCATGTAGCCAAAAATAATTTTTATGTTCTCTTTCTAGTCCTTAAAATTTGTTCCATTAAGAACAAAACTAAATTCAAATTGAAAGATATTGAAACAATATTAACTAAATTGATAACAAAGTAACTAATGTAATTGTCACATCATAAACAAAGTTCAATCATCAATATGTTCAAATAATGACATAATCCATCTCAAGATGTCTAGTGCATCACTAATATAAAGTCTTTGGATAGTAATATTAATTGTTAGGAGTATCTTGTTGTAATGATCAAACATTGACAATACAACATATCTAACCAAAAAAAATATATTTGGATTAATTTATCATTGACACGCATAACCTTGATATTATCACACATTTAGCCTCTCATGTGTGTATGCAATCCGGTCAAGCATTAATCTTTCTTTGGGTTTATCAACACTTGCATGGATAAACATAAACCCAAACATTGAAATTTTCTCATGAACAATCTACTTAAGAGAGGTCACTTTGGCGACTTCTTGATTCAACTAACTCATTTAAAATGCTAAACTACTAAAATTTGAACTCATATGTACCAATCCAGTGAAAAAAAATTCAAAATGAATTTCATCATGAATCTAGAAACCACAATTTTAAATCACACTTTATGCATATTAATATTACGTTGATATGTGTAAAAAACACAAATTTCAAAATCACACATGAATAGACTATGGGTTGTTGACTCTGATACCAATTGAAGAAAAATCTAAGAAATAATAATTGTGCTTAATAACATGCTTTGATCCACATAGATTCCAAATATATAACACACTCATATATTAATCTTTAATGAACTTATAATTTAATTCATGATGACAAGAATACAGAAGAGTATTCGAGTTTGTTATTGAGAATGATGTGGATGATAAGATTAATCACCGGTGTGTGATATTTCAAATATAGAAAGTCTTAAACACGACTTTAGTTATCTCTCCTAAAAGGGGTGAAAAGAAAACAATATATTAACATAACTGTTACCTTCTCTAAAAATGGAAACCATAACCCATTTTATAATTGTTGATAGACATATTTCACATTTTAATAATTCTAATTCAGTCTCTTATTAAACTAAAATACTATTTTAAAAATCATGACAATTATACCCTTAATAATAAACTTAATATTAATAAACTATTTTATAATTTTTACAATGATTCTAATACATTTAAATAATATATATATTTACATAATATATACGTGGCTTGAAAATTCTAATATATTGTCCTAAAAAACAATTGATAACGTGGTAAATAAAAATGAAGAAATTCACGCTCAAAATTTAACTTGAAAGATATAATTTATAATAATAATAAATATATTAAAATTAAATTTATTTTGAATTGATTTTAAAAATTGAAACAATAAAATGAATCAAATCACCCTGTTCTTAAAATAAATTTGAAGCAATCCAAACATTTTTAATTAGATTTTAACTTTGTATTGATTGTTATATTCTTTTTCTTTATCTTTTTGCACAAATTGTGTTTCGATTGAATTTTAAAAACTTGTGGCACGATATATATTTAATATTATTTTCTAATGGTTAATTATTATATAACTAAAAACTATATTTAAATAATCATTAAGTAATTTACAATATAAAAAGTATTCGTTAAATAATTTTCAAATTCTTCACATCCATATCAGTTTTATAACCTTTATATATTGCTTCGCGCGGACGAAGCTTGTGACCCTTTTTAGACCTTAGGTGTCTTCTGTATCTTTCATTCACTTATTAAAAAATATTAAAAAAATGTATCAGAAAATATAACTTTAAAGTTATTATTACACAATATATCAAAATTAAATAAAAAGCCTTTATATTAATAATATGTTAGGGTTAAACTTTTATTATATTATACATCATATATGCCAGCATATAATTAATGCTATGTTTTCAAGCTTGGTATAGAAAAATAAATATTCCACTTTTTACATTAATTGTTCTGTTTTTACGTTTATGTTCAATTTATCTAATTAAATAAGTCCAACCATATGTTTTCACAAATTTCTCTCCAAATTCTTTCGAAAAAGAAAAAGAAAAAGAAGTTAAAATAACCTATAGACAAGTATCAACTCAACAATGAAAAATACTTGTATGAATACAAGAGATACGGGCATTTCAATCACTTTCCTTTTTTTTTTAAAAAAAAAGTAACATATTATATATATATATATATATATATATATATATATATATATATATATATTATTTAATTTGTTTAAAATTATTATTTAATTAATTATAAATTAATTTTATTTTATTTAATAAAATAATTATTATTAATTTAATTTATNACAAATTTCTCTCCAAATTCTTTCGAAAAAGAAAAAGAAAAAGAAGTTAAAATAACCTATAGACAAGTATCAACTCAACAATGAAAAATACTTGTATGAATACAAGAGATACGGGCATTTCAATCACTTTCCTTTTTTTTTTAAAAAAAAAGTAACATATTATATATATATATATATATATATATATATATATATATATATATATATTATTTAATTTGTTGACATGTTATATATGATTGTGACTTTCAGTACTTTTTTTTATTAATTTCTTCCATGGATCGCTTTTAATTACGACCCTACACATTCCTGTTTGTTTACACGAGTTTTTTCCATAACAATCCAAACACATCTCAACCATACATACTTCATTGGAAAGTCTAAAATTTTGGTTCCTTTCTCAAACACTTTAATGTCATTCTATACTTAACACTGTCACTAATCGTTAATTTCTATTTAGGGTTATGTTTACCAAATTAATATTTAATTCGTTGCTTAGAATGAATCTGTTCAGAAAACATTTAAAGAAAAGAAAGAAATATTAATGATGGGAATAATTCAAGGCAAACTTCTTGTGTTCAATTAAATTAATTATTCACAATTCTGATAATAAATTAAGCAATTATTATTTCAGGTACATGAAAAAGGTAGATTATTAATTAATAAATACATGAGAGTTGGGAGAGAAATTTAAGTTTTGTAATGTGATGAAACTCTATATATATAAAAGATGGAAAGCTAAGCAAACATCTGGGAAGTACCTCATTTGCTAGGTACTCCTTTATTTCGTAGTACTGTTCTAGTAGCTGAATTTTCCTGTAAATAAACCCCCTAATTTTTTGGGCAAGGACACTTTACAAGAAAAAGTACTGCACAATCTATTTATGTGTGTGTGTTTTAAATATAAATATATATTATTTTTTTGCCAAAGAACTTTCTGTGCACTTTATTGCCAAATATCAGTGTAACTACTGTCTCTAATAAGGTATTAGTAAGTCAAACAAAAGTCATACATCAACTAAACAAAAAGAACTATTTAATCTTTTGACAAATGTTAACAATTTGAGACTTCATATATATAATAGTTAAAGAAAATGAGAGTAACGAAAAAGTTAAAAACATTAAAACTATTTATTATCTATTCTAAAATAAAAGATTGAAATTTTATTTATGGGGTTGTTATTTATTATCTGAAAAATAAAAATTTAGTCAAGGGTAGAAAATGTTTTGCTAGAAAAAGGAATGAATAGTAATTACTATTGTGGTTCATTTATTGTTGACAATCACGTTAGAGAAAAAGTTAGAGTTGATGACAGTATTATAAAAAAATAAAAATAGATTGAGTTGATAAGATTAGACCAGTCAAATGTACTGTCTCTGCATGAGAATGAGTTACTGCATAAAAAGATTTCAGCATTTTATGTGGCAAAGATCTTTTATATATAGGCCTGGCTTCTGAGTTTTGCACAGACCAACTTTTGCTGAGTCCAAACTACTGATACACCTGCATTCTGCAAACCTTTGAGTATCACACTTGCTTTTCTTCTTCCATCACTTTCCTCACCACTACTCTTCTTTCATTTTCCAACCCAAACCTTTCATCAAATGGCAGCTTTTTCATCCCAATCCTACCATCCCTTTCTACTTCACTCCACAAACACCCAACAACCCCTTATAAACACTCCTACCACCCATTCTTTTCACAAGGAAAAAACGTCTCTTAATACTCTCACTAATCAAGAATCTACCAGCAGTGACATTGAGCCTTCTGTCATAAAAAACCACAGTCCTCAGACATCCATGGTTGAAGATAAACTTGAAATAGGTGAACAAGTTACTCAAAACCTCACCTCTATGCAGAAGAAGAGAACACAAAAAAATGGACCTTCCTTAACCAGCCCCTTATCGATGGTATACTTTTTAAACCATTTTTTGTGTTTTCCTTTTCTTCAAACACATCTTCATAGTCTTTCTAATTGAACTATTTTATTAATATGATTAACTGGTGCTTAATTACTATGTAAATTGTTACAGGATTCGGCAGAAGGGGCAAGCAAGAAACAGAAGAAAAGCAATGGTGGTGATCAAGGAGAAAACAAGCCAAAAGAAGTGAAGAAGGATCAAAAGAAGGGTCCAGAAGATCCTCCAACGGGGTATATCCACGTTAGAGCAAGAAGGGGTCAAGCAACGGATAGCCACAGCCTTGCCGAAAGGGTACAATTACATCACTCTTAACAACTATGAACCAGTGTGTCTGTGTATGTTTCAATATTAGGTGACCAGTTGAACATGTACCACAATTCCTTAAAAAAAAAAACATGTCTCATTTTGAATGTTGCAAAAGTAAATAATAAAATGGATTATTTCAGGTGAGAAGAGAGAAAATAAGTGAAAGGATGAAGACGTTGCAGCGACTTGTGCCAGGCTGTGATAAGGTTTTGAATTGCATTCATATATATATATATATATATATATATATATATATATGTATCTTCCTTGAAGCATTTGCTTGTTTCTGTCAACCCTTCTTGACAGCTACGGTTGATTTGCTTCATAAATATTATTAGGTAACCGGAAAGGCCCTTGTGTTGGACGAAATAATCAATTATGTTCAGTCCTTACAGAATCAAGTGGAGGTATATGAAGTTTCTTTTTCTTTCTTTTTTGAAACATTGTTCGTTACTTATATAATGTCTAAACCAACGATTTAGCTTTGTAACTCTGAATTTTTCTGCAGTTCTTGTCAATGAAACTTGCTTCTGTGAATCCCATGTTCTTTGACTTGGCAATGGACTTAGACACGCTCACGGTTAGGCCTGATCAGGTGAGAAAAATAGAAAATTAAGATTGTTTTTTTTTTTGTGGTAAAATGATAGATTATAGTTGTTGGTGGTGGTGTCTGAAATATGAGTAATGATGAAAGTTTGTCCCACTGAATTTCAGAAGTTAAATAATGCAGCATCCCCATCACTACTACCATGTGTGGAACAATGCAGACCAAACCAGGCCATTGCTTTTGCTGACACGACCACCCTGACCACCACTACCAGCAGCTTCCCCACCGCTAATAATGATGACTTTCTTTTGGATTATTCATCTTCATCTTTTCTTCAACCCCACAGGCCAAATGTCTTCTTCGAGGTATGCTAGATCATTCAAACCACTTCTTTATCAATTCAAATTTTGGTTGTTTTCTTTAAAGCGACTTTTTTTTTTATAATTTTGATAAAAGCTTTTACTATAATTTTTAAGTGTGAATATATATAAAAGTTCGATTTTTTCTGTCTTGTCTTTTACTTTTTCTCATCCAGAAAAACATACTAGCATCAGATAATTACAAGATTATAAAAATGGGAAATAATAAATAATTGAGAGAAGGGGTTTTTCTTTTTTCCTGTATTCTGACAAAAACATAATTTTCAGTATAACGGTGGTCAGATTTGGGAAGTAGACCAGCGACAAAAGTTTCTTCAACCATATGGATTCGCCAATAATACTGGCTCTTTCAATTAATATCAATGTTTCACATATGGTAAGTTTTCAATAACTTTATGACTATATATAATTCTATTATCATGAACATGGTCTTCTTAAATTCTACCCTTTTATTTTAATCATTTTTAAGAAACTGTTGTTTGTTGCTGGCAGGTTGGCAAATTCAAAACACGTATCGGTATCTCAGTGAAAAAGAAATATTCTGATGCATGAGAAATCAAAGCTATGGTTGGTATCACAGTATCATCATATATACGAATATATGATCATATTTTGAAGGGAATTCCTGATTTTCTTTGCTTGGTTCTTAGCTTGTCACCAAAGTAAAGAGACCTTTGAAGACGATGAATAAAGTGAAGCAAAATTAATGGATGAAGAACACACACTAAGGACAGAAAATGCCGACCAAATAAAACCATATCTTTTGCTAGATCTGTTGTTCTGTTCCTGTCCAACATATATGTGATGCACAAATTCCAAGAGACTCTATGTCAATCCTGCAGACATTGAAATTTATGTCATGTAAATTAATTATATGTGAATTATTAGAAGAAAAATTATTCTTGTGGTGGCAGTTATTCTGTTGATACAGTTAATTTCACCGTTATTGAGAAATGAAAGGTTGATGCTACTCATCACCTCTTGACAAGACAATGCATGCATTTTCTGGTGTAGTTCATTTCATCTAAATTTGCAGAATCTTTTGAGCCGTGGCATTATTATGACTCTTTTTTTCCAATTTAGTTATTTGGGCCGTTTGATTTTCCGACATTATAGACAGATCCTAGGTACCACTGACCATGGTCTAGTCACAACGCTCTCATTAAGTTTGAAATGAGAGTTTTTTGTTTTTTTTTCCCATTGTCATGTTTATTTTTGTGTTATTTTGATTAGAAAGATACTCTCTTAATTACTAATTAATTCACTTTGGCTAACAATAATGCACTCCAGTATTACATTTTGGATCAAAATTGATTATTGTTAGTTTTGTTTGTAAATTATTTATGAGAATTATGTAACTGAAATAGAAGAAAAAAAAAAGAGAGAAAAATAATTCATTTCAGAAGTTTCTTAAATTAATGTTACTTTATTTTGGGACAGGTGAAGGCAAGTTCTTTGTGATGTCTTTTTCAGGAAAGATGTCACTGTTTCTTAAGAAAGAAAAATATCGATAGTGGTTGTGATGTCCCTGTAAGCAAACACATTGAATTTTACTGCTCAATCAGTTGATTGCCTCATACTTTGGTTTTAATGAGAAGAACTGAGGTTTGAACTAAAATCTTACCTTAAAAAGTTTTCAGTCCAATTTCCAAATGCATAGCACCTTCAATTTAATCTTGTACTATATTAAGTATACCGATTGGAATTACAAATATACAAAATTAATGATTAATTATTAGGTTTGATTAACTAAAATATATTACACTAATGGTTAATAGCTGTCACAAGTCTTATAAATAGACAACTGATGTCTAGGTACAATCATCATTTTCTATCCTAATAAAATATACACCTAAACATATCTCGGAGAGGATTGAAGATAAAAAAAGAACAGAGTAAAAAAGTACGACCGACCATCGGACCAATTCAACCGAAACAAATCTATAATCATGAATCATGAGTAACTTTTATAAAATACATTGAAAATAATTTAAATGTAATTAAATTGAAGTCCTAATAGAGATAATAAAATATGTATTACATAAAATGATGATATACTTCAAAGTTTTTGAATCATTTTAAAACTTATTTGGTTTTACTTTTTAAATTTGATATTCACGTTTTAGACGTGGAAAATAGAAACTACTATAAATAAGTATGGGTCGTACAGCCATATGTAATTTAATTGGTATCAAACCAAAATGCACATAAAGACTTTTTCTGAAGGTTTTCAAAAAACACGAGCAATAATGATTTTGGTTTATAATAAATAAACTATAAACATGAGTAATATTATAAACTTATGATTAAAAATATATGTATCAATAAAAATAAAGTTATTAAATAGTAATAAGTGAATTTTAATTTTAATTCAATTCTACAAAATTATTGTAAGGCTTACATTAATTTACATATTATAAATTGATATTATGTTTAGTCAAAATTGAGATAGGACTTCCAACACACTTTTCTAGACTGAAACATAAATATTTTAAACGTAAAATTAAATATTAATTGATAATTTAATAATGTGTAAAACAATAAACTTAATAAATAATAAATTTTCATAGAATAAACTTTATCATATGACTATTTCACATGTTAAGGAATAAATTTTATATCTAATTCAATCTTACAAAATCAACATCAATCTTACAAAATACTTATAAAATAAAGTTTGCATATTTATATAGTTAAATCGACTTTAGAGACTTCCAATATTAAATATTTTTATTAAATTGTGATGATTGTGAAGGTAAGGTTCATAGTTGTCCATATTTTTTGTAAAATTAAATAAAATTAGAATAACTACAATGATTTTGGATATTATAATTTTTCTCTATTAAATATGGTTGGATATTAATGGATATTATTAGAGTAATTAGGGAGAGATTTTGTTTGGAACGGTGAGTGATCCAGTGAACCTATCTTCGTTCCGACAATCTTTATGTCTTTGCCTTCACACTGTTTGCTTTCCAAATGGTATGAGACAACAATTTGGTGTCCTTTTTAAAAATGTGTTGTTTTCTGGGGAAACAACTTCTGGAACCAAAAAAACACATTCAAGAAATCATGGCCAAGACGTTTCCTCGTGTAATATAACAAAGGGTAACCCTAAAAGTTAGGATTAGGTTTCACAAGCAAAGTGAATATAGGTATAAAGTTATGGAAAGATAAAGCATTTCACCCTTCCCCAATGAGGAATAAAAGAATTTTTTTTTTTCGTTATTCACTTTTAGTTTTGGAGTAATGGATATAAACAGTCCATGTGGAAATTTTTTGTCCCCTGTGTTATCTATTTCTCAACCCACACGTTGCTTTCTTCTCACCCAACTTTTCCACCATTTTCCACCGAGTACATTTTCTTTTTTTAATTTCAACTTTTTCATTGAATCATCACCAACAATGTATATCCATTTACACCAATACTAACAAAGATTGTAAAAAAAATTAATATATTTAATCATATCATATTGTTTATAAATCGAACTTAGTGGTGAATACCGGAGTAGTTTGTTTGTGACAAGTAGAAAGTATGTGAGAGTAGTCACAAGCGTAGGGAAGCATTTTGGGAAGTACTTTCACACATGTTATTTTGGACATTTATTTTAATTTATTAACGAAAACATGTTTAAATAAGATAAAATAATTGTGATTTTTTAGTTTTGCTTATGAATCGAAGCCTAAATTTTTATATTAAATTATCAAAACATATAAATTATAATGAAAAAAACAATGGGAGATTAGCCTTCGTGTGTTTCAACAGTGAAGGACTTTTGACAATGGTGAATGTTTCGCGTTCGCAAGTGTAGTAATGATCATCTTCGCAATGCAAGAATGATTTTCGTTCAATAAAGAACCAAAGTGAATTAATAAACGAAACTGAAAAAAAAAAAACAAATTTTCGCATATCCAATAGTTCAAAAATGAAATGTAGTGATGTCTTGTTTATTCGCGTTCGAGCATTGAGTGGTGTGGAGGCTGTGAAGTGCTTTGCATTTGTAGGGAGATATATGATGTTTGTTTTTGAACGAGTGACGATAACGAAATGAAAAAAGAGAGACAAAAGATATAAACATGTGAGATGACCTTCCCTTTCGAACAAGAAACGATGAACGAATGAAATGAAAAGAAAAAAACAAAAGATATGAACGAGTGTGATAACTTTTGTTTTTGTAAGAAAAAATTGAAAATCTTGGAGATGTGAAAATGAACTTTGCATTCTTCGAAAAAAAAATGAAAATGAATTTCACATAATAGCGTTCAAATAACTGATAAAATAGCTTGTTGAAAATTTAATTTAATAAAAAGTAGACTTTATTTTTATCAATAATCGAAGCTTATTATAAAATATTCTTCGATTTTACTAATAACAAGGCATAAAAAATGATATTTTAAGAATTTATAATATCTTTTTCTTTGATTATTTTGACAAACGAAACTTACTCCTATTCTTTAGAGAAAGTATAAAAGTAAAAAGGGTTAAATATGTTTTTAGTCCCTAAACTATCAAGCGATTTTGTTTTTAGTCCCTGCTCAGAACTTTGATGGTTTTTAGTCCTTATAGTTTTGAAACTCTGAGTATTAGTCCTTAAAAATGGACGGTGTTAAGTTTTTGTCGATCTGGCAAACGGCGATGCCCAGCTGTGCTCTACACTCTCTGCCACGTTGCTGACCAATAAGAATCTCACGCTGGCCATTCTCGTTCTTCCTCAAACGCCCTTCTTCATCGTCTTTCTGTGTTTTCTCAATGCCTGTTCTTCTGTCTTCGCCACCCATTTGAACAACAACACCGTCAGCCTCACCAGTGACCTCGCCGTCCCAAACTCCGCTGCTGGCAGAGCGCTTTATGCTGTTTTTGCCCAATTTAATCAAATACATTTTACCTTACAAGTAAAGAGAACGAACTTATTCAATCATTAAAATAAATTATATGAAAACTCAGTTCCTTTTTCATCATAATAGTGACAATCCTTAAACGCCACACCCATCTCAACTTTCCGGTGTGATACAAGCAGAAATGCAAGCGGGGAACTAGCAAATTAAATTCTAGGTTAAACACTTCTTCAGCCGTCTCTTCCGTTCGAGATGGTTTAATCGAATCAACAACAATACAAGATCCCAAAGACAAGAGGAAACCACAAAAGGCGATCTAAGTAAAGGGAAAGAGAGATGAGAAGAGAAGAGAAGCGAAGCCGTGCAACGGAAATCAACAGGATTGGCAAACGAGATGAAAGAATATAAGTAAGAATTACAGATTGGATAAAAGGAAGTTCGTGGATGCGATAAACGAAAGGGGAATTAAAAAGAGGGGAGGATTAGGGAAAATACCTCTTTGGAATGGTGGAGGCACTCGAGGTAATCTTCACGGAGAAGACCACAATCCGTGGGTTCTCGGCAGCGAGACATGCATTCGCTGAAATCCATCCAGAAATCGTAGCACCGACCTTTGTTGCCTGTAATTCCCCAGCCTGACGCCATTGTCTCTCTTTCTCTCTTGCTCTCTGATCTCACTGCTTCTTACAACTTCAAACCCTCTGCCAGCAACGGAGTTTCGGACGGCGAGGTCACCGGTGAGGCTGACGGTGTTGTTGTTCAAATGGGTGGCGAAGACAGAAGAACAGGCATTGAGAAAACACAGAAAGACGATGAAGAAGGGCGTTCGAGGAAGAACGAGAATGGCCACGTGAGCGTGAGATTCTTATTGGTCAGCAACGTGGTAGAGAGTGTAGAGCACAGCTGGGCATCGCCGTTTGCCAGATTGACAAAAACTTAACACCGTCCATTTTTAAGGACTAATACTCAGAGTTTCAAAACTATAAGGACTAAAAACCATCAAAGTTCTGAGCAGGGACTAAAAACAAAATCGCTTGATAGTTCAGGGACTAAAAACATATTTAACCCTAT